AGGCCGGCCCAGCCCTAACCCTCGACAGGTAGCAAGTGATCCTAAGGTTGTAAGGCATAAATCTAAGTTACAAACAGACTGTGCCTGTCTAAAACCATGTGTTTCATTTGCTTTTCTCTGCAAGATGCAAAAATCACTCACCTTTGTTGTGTGACATTGCATAGAGAAGACAGAGCACAAAGAGGGCATAGTAATCATCCTCAGCACAGTCCAGTGAATTGTAAACCATGTCGAGAAACGGCCTACGGGAAGGAGTCATTTCAGACTGGTTAACAAGAAAAAGACCGTATCTACGTTAACACGAGTAACTATCTTGTTCTACACGTAGCTAATGGAAAAGGCAAATTTACACTACCACACGGTTACACATCTGTCAGGCATTGAACAATAATTAACCTGTTAAAGAGTGCTAAGGTCACAGCCATTTCCACTGACAGTAATTCTGATGTTTTAATGAGATTTGTTTCACAGTATTTTTCCCAAGAACGGATTGCTCACACATTTCCTGGATTGTTTGTAGCACAGTTAGTAAGCACAGCTTTGTACAGCTTTTCAGAGTGCGCCAAAGGGACTTCAAGGGGCTGCTATCTCTAATGACAGAATGAACGATCGCTGCCTGTTCCAGCAGCCCACGGCACCTTGTCCATAAGACTCAGCGATTCCAACCAGTGTAGGAGAGAAACTATGGACATGTGAGCAAATTCCTGGACATTTAGCTGCTCTTTCAAATATTACATCTGTCACACAGAAGAACACAAAATCTTGAGGTACAGCAGCTTACCCACCTATATTTCCAAAAGGTCATGTGCAAAACTAAGGCCAGAAACACCCCGCAGGAGGCCTACCTTCATTTAAAAAATATTTTTAGCTCTGCACATGCTTTGATGCTATTTTTGGAAAAGGTGCAGGATGCTGTCAGGCCACACCTGCAGATCAAAAGAGTCCCGAATGCAGACACTTGCCAAATGCACGTCACACCTAAGTATTTCGCGCTTTTTAAGGTCTGAGCATCCTAGTTGCTTTAGTATTCAATGCGGTCGTTGCCAATTTCTAAAAGCCATTTGGCACATATTTTAGTCAAAATATCAATAATCTAGAACAATGTATTTTAAAGCCAATTCAAGTCAAGGTTCAATTTCCCTTTCACAATGAAATTAAATGTTATCTTTATTAATGAACATAATCCAAACTATATCAAAGCTATAATGGAGACAGAATGAAATTCTGGGAATACCAAGCAGCATTTCCCAAGTTTAAAAATAAATTTGAAATCCTATTAAACATGCGCACTTCCCCAAGGGACACATTTATATATATTGCAGTTCCTTTATACCTGTTCCAGCTTGTTATCTCACTCCCAGAAGCAGCTGCACTCTTTTCTTCATCTGTTGTATTCTGTTCTGTCACAGCAGAGATAGACAATTCCGACAGTTTACACCTCTCCATGATTACCATCTCTATTTCTAAAAAAAATAAAATTGATATTTTTAATAAACAGTTGTTGTAAACTCTTTCATATTTTCCTTTCTGCATCTGAAGTGACTTATGCAACACATACAAAAGAGATGTAACCACAACCTCAGCAAGGTTAGTGGATGAATAGACGTGGGCAAAAGAAGTTTGATTACATTTCTTTAAGGAATTTAACTGCCATAAGAAATTTGTACATATACATATGTTAAAATAAGAAAACAAAACACAAAAGAGATTACTTGGGCTAACAAATAAATAACAGTAATTCACCTCCAAACCACAGAAGAAAACCACAGAACCTCTTTCTGGAAAAATTATTTCTTTGTAAAAACGTTAGTGAGATTAGGGCACGGGTGGCCATCAAGTTTCACAGAGGGTGTTAATAGCTCTCTACAACTACAGCGAACAGGATACCTGGTCCTGAGCGATTCACACCTACTGGCTTCAGGATTAAACCTAACTTTTGCTTAAGAATTTGAACCAAAACAACTACTAAAAGCACCAGTTTAAGCAGTAGATTATGTCATATTGTCTTCAAATCATGGTAGACAATACATCATCAGTTATTTGACACCAGATTAGAAGGACATGTTCTGTCAGAATTATTTAACATGAAAAAAAAAATACAGCCAAAGACAGAAGCCAATTTAATAGCCCCACATTTCCCTAGTGCCAGAAGAGAACAACCCATGGAACCAATCCCAGCCAGGCTCACACAGTAAACAGAAGTATCCAAACTCTAAGTATGGATTTTATTTGCTGGTGTACTCACCTTCATTTTCACTGCTTGTTCTGACGCCCTTTGAACTTGCTTCTGTACCTTTAGCTTTATCTAGGTCATCTTGGTTATCTTCAGATCCTCTCTCCTCTTCATCTTCTTCACCAACATTTTTATAGTTGGGTCTTTTCTGCATCCTCTTCTTCCCCTTCTGTTTGTTAATCTCAAGAGACCTCTCAAGGGTTTCTGTCGGTTTTATGAAACATCTAATACTTGACTTTGCCTGTAAATTTGAAGAGTTTACAGAGTTACAGAACATTTTTTAACTCTGACAAAGAAAATTCAGTTCATATGAAAGAGTATTTTCAGAATGTAAATTAGCATACCACTTACAAATTTCAAATCTGTTTTCAAGTACAAGAAAGCAGACCTCAAATGGTACCATCAGTAAAAAAATTATCTCCGAAGTAACACGTCCTAAAGATCTGTCATTAAAAAGTCTGCCCTCAAGAGACAAGATACAGAACTACCTACTTCATCAATAGACGTTTACTGAATTTTTTCCCTTCTTTGCACTTTCTTGAGAGGCGAGGCAGCTAGTATATCCAAAATTAAGACCTTTTGCAAAAAAGGATAAAAGCAGCAAAATCCAAAGCGCGTGCTGACAGCACTAGTACGAAATACTCTCTTTAAATGTCTTTGGCAGTAGCAAGAACAAAAACCAATGCTCCATGCCGCAAGATTTTTGAATCTTTAGCTTCCCTTGACAGCCTATTAGTCCTTGTGTCAACAAGGAACCGACACCAACCTGCTTTGGGCCCCCTGACGTGAATGGACCAAGTCTGGAAAACCAACATCACTTCAACTGTTAGACCTTAATATACTCGTGTTCTACCCAAAGAATTCAGAAGTTTATCTTTCAAGTCAAAACGCTGTTTCTGGACAAGAATGCAAAGAGTACTTGGTCAACATCTAATTTTCCTGATGATTGATTTACAGAGCAAGAAAATACTTTAAATGACAAATTTCTCCCAGAGGAGACAAATATTTCACAGAATCCCAGAATGTTGGGGCTGGAAGGGACCTCTGGAGCTCACCCAGTGCCACCCCCTGCCAGAGCAGGGTCACCCAGGGCAGGTCCCACAGGAACGCGTCCAGGCGGGTTGCAAAGTCTCCAGAGCAGGAGACTCCACACCCTCTCTGGGCAGCCTGGGCCAGGGCTCCGGCCCCCCAATAGGGAAGGAGTTTCTCCTCACGTTGAGGTGGAACTTCCCGAGTTCTAACTCAAACCCATCATTCCTTGCCCTATCGCTGGGCACCTCTGAGCAGGGATTGTCCCCTTCCCCTTGACCCCCACCCCTCAGATATTTCTCTACGTCAATAAATCCCCTCTCAGCCGTCTCCTTTCCAGGCTGAACAGCCCCAGGTCTCTCAGTCTCTTCCCAGCAGAGATGTTCAGTCCCTTGATCCCCCTTGTAGCTCTCCCTTGGACTCTCTCCAGTAGGTCCCTGTCTCTCTGGAACTGGGCAGCCCCAAACTGGACACAGGGTTCCAGGGGTGGTCTCCCCAGGGCAGAGCAGAGGGGCAGGAGAACCTCCCCAGCCCTGCTGGACACACTGTTCTTGATGCCCCCCAGGATCCCACTGGCCTCTTGGCCACAAGGGCACGGGGCTGTCCCAGGGACACTCACTGCCCACTGGGACTCCAAGGGCTGCTTTCCAGCAGGACATCCCCTAATCTGTGCTGCTCTAAGAGTCTGTGCCACCCTAACAAAGAACCACATAGTCTTACAGAAGGCACTACAGGAAGTTCAGAGACTTGCAGCACCAACCAAATTTGGATTCCTACAATTTTGCAGACTGTTTCTGAGCAGTAATGCTTTGAGCACCTTTCTCAGTGGTCAGGCCTGCCTGCTCGATCAGGGGAGTACAGCTGTAACCACCGACCATCCAAACATCTGCTACTGAGAAGTACAATGCATGGCTTCCCAGCAGCGTGGATTTACACTGAACAAGACTGCTACAGAAATGTCATTACTTTTCAGACCTTAATACCTCAACCACATTTAGCTGATGCTGGCTAAAGAGTTAAAAAATGTAAGCACAAGCAAGGGAGAAGATGACTAGAGTACCAATTCCATCCCTTGCCTTAGACGACTCCAGTACAATAGGCATTGAAGACAAGCACATTAAAGAGACCTCGGAGAAGAAGTTTGGAAAAATCCCTCCCTTCACTTGATAAGGAACATCTATACACACACAAAAAAAAGAGATTAGGAAAAGATTCAGGAAGAAGCCTTCTGCAAGTCAAAAGGCCAAAATGTTTCTCTGAATCTTCTGACTTTTAAAAAACGTTTCACAGAAACTTGTATAAGGCACCTCACGCTTGGCACTGAAACAAATCATACAGCAGGAAGAATCTTTCACAATAACAAAAACCCCACAATAGGAAATTTATCACACTTATATCCCCTAGTAACCTCTCATATATTTTCAGTTTGATCAAGCTGCAACGTAGGAAGGTTATAGAACGACCAGAGTTACAACCAGGCTACTTTTTATTGATGGCTTCTGGTCACAAATGTCATCAAATAGGGAAGAACATGTTAAGTTTTACTCTTTAAGGAAAAAAAAAAAAAAAAGTAGCATGCAAATTGTATTTTCCCCTTCCTGCATTCACTTCTTACAAGTGTTTCCTAGAATCTGGTAGCTGGTTTCTGTATGAACAATCGTGTACTCAACATCCTTGCGTTTCTGATCACTCTCAGCCGTACGAGCAATATGATGGGAGAGTCCAGCGATGTGCTTACAAGCACCGAACCACGGTCTGGGCCACCTCAAGAAAGAATGTTAACATATATATTCTGTTTTGCCAAATATAACAAGGCTATATATTTACCACATTCTGAAATAAGACTTACAGTTAATTTATATAGTATATACCGCGTGAGATTCTGCTATTTTATACTTTTAATGCCTCTTTTAAGCCTATTTTCAATTATGGCTTATCTTGTGCAACCCGTGCTGGTCAAACAAGGCAGTACTAGTAACAACTTTTATGGGAAAGTAGGTTAAACAAGACACCAAGAGTCATGAAACAGGTAGAGCTGGATCATATCCAAATTAGGCAGGAAAACAGATCTCACAGGAAGTCAGGTAACCCTTAGTGTGATGACTGCTGGCAAGTTTAAATCCCTTTTCGTGGCTTTACATTCAACACTCATCACGAGAAAAGAGTTAGTATTTCTGCTGATGTCACCTAAAAATAGAAATACAGGGAAAAATACGGAAGTAAAATTGTATCTTAATTTGGTGTACTTTGAGGCGGAAAACCTGTTCGGTGGAGGTTGGGCAATCATTCCTGCCTGGAACATTACGAAGCAGCCCGTCTGTTTCCAACTAAGATAAGGCAAGGAGTAAATATCCTACACTGACATTTATAGAGCACTTTTTATCGCTAAAGTGCTTTGCAGACATTAACCACATAACCATTAAATATTGATATCTGCATGATGTCCAGCAGATCTCCATGGGTAGGTTATTGCCAATTCATAAGCTATCAGCAGTTACATCTGCTGCTGATTTTTTCCACAAATTGATTTCCAGTAAAAAGTACCATTTGTTCCTATTGTGACAACTACTATTGCTCCTTTGCCCTGAATAACTCTGAGTACGTTGCATTTATACACAGCAACTGCAAACCTGCTCAGCTTTTATTTTGGTTAAGTATTCTTTACTCGGTTTCCTATTGTGAAGAACACGTGACTCTGTTTCTGGTAATTTCAGTCCATATTCTCTACACCTCATTCCACTTCAGTTCAGCTTCTTAGGAAAATAAACACAGAGATGAGCTTCTACTTCGAGTTTTAGAAGCTTCACGGCAGAGGCTGACAGATACACTTCAAATCTATCAAAACATCTCGCTTACAAGAGATGAGCAGCGTTAGGCACAGAGCAGAGGTTTAGAGGCAACTGGGGCTCAGCATAAGACACAGAGATACCCCCAAAACAACAAGCTTAGGACAGTATCAGAATGATTACCATGGGAAATTGCAATGGAAAGGAAGTAGCAAAAAATAAATCTGAGTCTGACTCAAGAACACACAAAATTCTAAAATCGGTCAAAAAGCAAATTAAAAAAATTGCTCATCATTTTTCTCTACCAACGCTAGAACACTCAGTTCTGAAGCAGCTTCTGAAATAGCTTCCATTATCCAAGAGAAGTTTGGCATTTCTTTGCAACAGAGTACACCACTTTGCAATGATTCTCATGCACCTTACAGTCCAAAGAACAGCCCCCGAAATGGCTAACAGTGCTCAAAATTCAGCTTTCTGCTCCAAGTCCTACCACAGAGCAACAAGAAAGTGCCTCACTTTTATATAAGCTGTCTATGCCTCCCTAGCTACAGCTGACTCACTACACTGAGTTGTGTAATAGCAGAAAAAATCCCATCAAATATATGCAGTAGTTGTTCATACTCATCCACTGGGAGCAGCACACTTAACAGCTCCCTTCACTGAAAGCAGGGCATGGAGCTCCTCTCCCTGCTCTTTCTGCAAATCACCCGTCTCCACCAGCAGGCTTTCTAACAGCACAGGCTTTCCCCTCCAAGGTTTCCTCAAAGAACGGGGCTGAATTTACTAAAAACTGAAGTTTCTCCCATGGAAGTTTTTTTCCTCAGCTGCCGTTAAGCACCAGCATCCCATACCAAGGTTCCACCTCTAGCAGCTTCACCAAGTGTCTATCTTAGGAAGCCAAGGATAGGTGGGACAGAAGTCCCAGTCCTTGGGGACACATCTTGAAGACCAGTAAGAAGCAGCAACCTAAGTAGTTTTACAAGAGAAGAGACAAACAGAAGAGTTTATAGGAAACCCCTAATATTCCTAACATTAGTGCAAGCACACAAAAAACATATGCTACAGATATTTTGCAACTCTGTACAGTAGCTATGACAGGAAAAGAGAATCTCAGTTCTGCAACGACTGGTGCCTCGCCCTCTCACCACAAATTTCCTAGTAACAAAGCTGCTTCTGCACCAGTATGACATGCGACGCTCAGCACCCAGCCAGCAGGTCAGACAGCTGCTAACGCCAGTAAGGGTCTGCTTGATCTTAAAGCATTCGGCCACCCACTGCAGTTTTTCGTTTGGTTCTTTTTAAAGATTAGATTCCAAATATCACGGACAACAGTACAAAAAAATCAGAGGGCAAAAGCTACTGGGCAGAGACCAGCCCACCCAGCTTTCACTGCACTGCAAGAAGAAATTTGGAAGTATCATGGCAGAGTTGAAGTTTATCTCCCCCTTGAAACTCTCAGAGCTAAAGTCAGTGCTGGGAAAGAACGTGCGTAAAAGCCAATCTACTGCTTGTTATAAATTAATCATTCAATCAGTAACCCTTTGCTGACGAGCCAGGCATTAGGGGACACGTTCAATCTTTATTCAGAGTAAGGTCACACTCTTTATTACCATTCACCTCGTCCCCTAAAAGTAATTAAAAGCCTTTAAAAAGTAACAGGCAAGCATTTCACAAACTGTGAAATCTGTAACAAAAGGGAAAAAAAAATTTACATGACACACTTAGAAAAATCACAAACAACAGCATCTAGCAACATCTACACAGGACCACATCTGAAGGTCCAAGGGCAGTGACAAAGTGGCAGCACTCCCAATCTGTTGGTGCACGCTTTCGGAGACGATGGGTTTGGCTGCTTTCCCAAAACATCAGGGATATTCAGATGAAAATGCCGATTTCCTTCTACATCCAAAGGATTTACCACAAGGTCAGGTATTTTTGCTAAGCCTCTCATTTCTGCTACAAGTTGCGTAAGGAAGTAATTTCACAGAAAAGTCGCGATGACTCATTTCACTACTAAAGGGCTGATAACAAAAACTCAACGCAGAAGACCGGATTACAAGAGTGCCCCATCAGTGACAGAAATCTTTGCAGTGTCTGACCCCTGCAGAAGCAACCAAGTACTTTAATTTGTCCCCTACACATTCTTACACCACCACCACACAAAAACATCGCACCTTTGATGAGAACACAATACTGAAAATTGCACAGAGCATCTCTCTGCTCTCATATCCAACAACAAAACGGGAAATCTCTTATTGCTGTTCTCTCCTAACACAATCCCCTTAGCTTACCAGTTCCCAGATACTTGATTTTGTTTTCCAAATGTTTACTTTGCCTCTAAAAAAAAAAAAAGGAAATAAAAGTTTAGTTGGTCACTTACTGAGTTTTTCTGTATATCTTGCTCAACTTTAGAAGAAAACACCGAGAGGTCACCATTAAGTATAACTTCAGCCAGTGAGTTCACCAAAGGGGCGTAATGTATAATTAGAAAAACCTATTAAAAGAAAGGTGGAAAGAAATATCAGACATGTATTAAAGAACACACACAGTTTCACAATTTCAGGCACTGAACATACTTCTCTGACCTTGTTAAACTGGTATCTGAAGCTGACATATACAGCAGAGTACAACCGGTAACACTGACAGCTCGTGAAATCTACTTCAAAACACAGGAGACCATAATCCTCTATACAGGTATCTGATTTTTCCCTACATTCTAAACTACCTAGTTTTAAAAATTCTTCATGCTCATCCCTCCTGAGAAATCTAAAACCCAACCAACCCCCTTCTCAATTTAAAAAAAAATTAAAGAAGCCACAACCCTAAAACAGGAAATCACCACTCCTCTTATTTTTCAACGAGCAAAACTAAACATGGAATCTTCCACAGCTGAGGTAGATTCAAAATATCATACAACATCTACCTAAGTGTCACCTGCAATTTTACTAAATTCCATCTTAGCGTGTTGCATGGCTCTGTTAGGCACCGTTTGTCGGGTGGTGTATACAAACTAGAATCACTGAGCTCTAAAGGCTGCCCTGTGCAATGGGATCCTCAAAGAGCGACATTAGCTCAAGAAAGAAGCTGTTTGGTCTGTCCCTATAAAGACAAATGATCTGATTGTTTTGGGGTTTTTTTAATGGAAACTGATAGGTTTAAAACTTGCCAAATTGTCTTTAGTGCCTTTACCAAAATAGGCGAAAATACAGTCATTTGTAAATCATAACTCTACTGCAAAATATTTTCTGAAATAGGACAAACTAAAAACACTTACTTGCGAAAGAAGATAGAGAGAAACTTGGAGACTTATTTTTGGACGCTCTCCGCCCTATGGAGAAAATGTTATGAAAAACGCTGTTTTATTTATATGAAGTTAAAGCAGTTACACTCTTTTATTTAAAATACAACTTTCAACATTGTATTGCTCCACATTCTACTATGACACGTGGAGAAAGGATCATGCTCTTTAACATTCACTTCTTGTCAACTGTTTCAAATGAAGATTACCTGAATAAGCATCGATAATCACTTCAGTAACTTAAACTTAGCAGATGAGTATCTGAGAAATACGTTGCTTTTCACTGTGCTCCTGTTCCTTCAGAAAGTACTTGTCAGTTAACAATGAAATATTACCCATATAATAAAAACTCGTGCTTGATAGACACATCTCTAAAACAAGTAAGTCACACTGGACAAAAATATCTGAAGTACAACCTGCAAATAACTCTGAGCTCAGGGTAACAAATGCACCTGCCCATAAACAGGAGGACAAGCAGACTTTGTATGTGTGAGAATAGAAAGAGAACAGCTGAAACGAAAGTAAAAGTCAGGATTCACCCTCTTTCAAGGGCAAGAGAAGCAGCTGATCGCTGATCCTCAGCGCACGGGCAATATGCTGAATTCAGGAATATGTAAGAAGTCTGACCTCTGGGTAATGAAAATACACCAACACCAAGCACTGAGTGTCTTAAGAAGAGGGAAGGGAGGGGCAAAAATGAAAATAAACAAACAGAAATAAACCGAACAGTGAATTGATTTCTTTTTTAAAAGACAGGTGAATACAGGAACCTGTGGATGTTTTAAAAGAAATACTTTCCACATCATTAAAAATACACTTTCCACTAAAGTTTAAGGCTATGCTTTAAAAAAAAAAATAAATTGGTCTATATTGCATTCAACCACAGTTTATCTGCAAATAGAAGAATCAAGTATGAAAGCCAAAAGTTTGCATTTTCTACCTGGAGTGGATTTTTACACTACGGAAAATTTGCACATACACTAGGAAAAGGTATTACAATCTGCTTTCGTCAGGAGACAAGTTACCATATCAGAAAAGGAAATCACCCATCTCCCAACACAGAAATTTAAACCCTGTTCCAAATTTGCAGGTCTTCTCGTCTGCACTATTGTTAGCATTTAATGACCACATCATCCAAATCAGTTAAATTCAGAGTATTTCCCCTACAGTCACCTTCAATAAATTTTTTTCATGCAAACATAGATATGGATAGTA